TTTCAGAGATTTTTTGGAACATATATGTGCATCCAAGGGTTTTGAGTTCTGTTTTTTTTTTTTTTTTTTTTTTTTTGCACTATTTGAGGTTTAACTTGTATACTAACGCTTTTTTAATGCGATGTCTATCACTATATCTACGGATATATAATAATGTGGATCAAAATTATTTGTATGAATTTTAGGAGACCTTGGTTATATTATATAGTCTCCTTTTTGGGTTCGGTTTGGGCCTTATCAATTATTGGTAGAGGGTCTAATCTATTATATCATTCCAAAAAAAAAAAAATCTAATCCATTTTCTAATTAAATCTCACTAGATGGTATAACCACAGAGTAGATAGAGGAATCACATTATTAATTCACTTCATATATATATATATGTATATGCTATACATATATATATATATACACACACATGTTTTACACAAGGAAAATAAATATAGTGTGACCCGTCTTGCAGGGTTTTTGTTTTCTAGAGTTTGCAAGTGTTGAGATATACCGGATCTTGAAGAATATTACGAGATATATCGTATATTGGAGATCTTATCGAATCCGGAAAATATATATTTAGAAATATTTATCATTATGTCTATTTTACTTATTCAATGTAAGACTCTCATCTATTTATATGTTGTTTTGATTATCAATAAAAAAAATTATTCCGCAAATTTCTACATGGTATCAGAGCTTCTGGTTCTTTTCTAATTTGTTGTTCTTTTCATAAAAATGATGATCGATAATGAGAGTGAAGATGAAGATGATGATATACCGATCCAGTGGTAATATCATTTCGAGTTTTTTTTTTTAAGAATAAGAGAGTCATTTTATTTTTGTTTTTTTTTTATTTTCTCTCATAATCCCACATGTTTCTAAAGATTATTCGCATAACCGCCAATCATCTTATTCTTGCCAAAAATTTGTTGTCATTAAACGCTTTCGCGTAGTTGCCTTTTAATCTCGGATGAATCAGAGTTATTCCCGAGACTTCTTTCTGCACCACGATTGTCGTCCCTTTTTTTTTGTTATCATCAAACGATTCTTTTGTGCGTAGTGCCAAAGTTGCAGCGCAGTCGTTTGTTTGATTTTTTTTAGTTATGATTGACACAAGTTCGCAAGGTGATGTGGTTCAAGAGGCATGCGTTTGATCATCTTTTCAGCAAGTTGGACGTTTCGTGATCTTCCACGCTCCAACTTGAAGGGGGATGTTGAGATATACCGGATCTTGAAGAATATTACGAGATATATCGTATATTGGAGATCTTATCGAATCCGGAAAATATATATTTAGAAATATTTATCATTATGTCTATTTTACTTATTCAATGTAAGACTCTCATCTATTTATATGTTGTTTTGATTATCAATAAAAAAATTATTCCGCAAATTTCTACAGCAAGTGGCTCTTTTTCACCTGGAGGGTTTGTGGACCCTCATTTATTAGGGTTTACCAAAAACATGTTTATATTTGTTTTACGCTCTTTTATAGAAATACTCTTGTCTTTTTATGAAAACGAATCTCCTTTCCAACTATATACCACGTAGATTCAGTCCAGAATATTATGAGAGAACCTTTGGCCAGATTTTTAATGAATTGTCCAAATATTATGTGGATCTTATGATTATACGCATTATATATATATATATATATATATATTTGGTGAGCGCGCCAGTGATTTTTGGCCCACTACATCACGGACCCCACTACATCACGGACCAACCTATAAACCCGTTTTCGGTAATCCTCGGAAAACGGTCCACAAACCCCTGTTGGTGAAATTTGATACAGTAATTACACTTGCCCTTGAATTAAATGGCAGAACCAACAAACACCCAAAAAATAAAAAATAAAACAAAAAAGGCTCCACTTGCCGAGTTGGCCCGGTGACGTGGCATCCAAACTCGTGTGGATGACTCAACGATGATCCGACGGATGGAAAGGAGTGATATCGTCATCGCCTCACGTTGCGCCGCCACGTTGCTAGGGGATTTACGGCCCAATATCGTTTCGGTCCATGGGCCCTGAAAATCATGATCGGCCCAAAGTAAAGTCCGGGTTTCTAAGCTTTGTGCACGGCGCGTGGCTTCACGCGATGAGACCGTGGTGGGAGAGCTGACGCGCCTCGTGAAGCTATAATTAACCGTCTCACCCCGAGACCTCATCCTATTTTACAAAAAAAAAAAAAAATAATAATAATAACTTGGCTCTCTCTCTCTCCACCTTGGATCCTTTTCTTCCTCCGCCAACTTGTCTCCGACACATGGTGGTGGGTTTTCTATGTTGTGTGTGTAGTTTTGTCTACTTGCTGTTCGTATGTGTTCGTGCTTGTTGTATATATGTGTGTTCATGCAGAAAAAAAGGGATGAAGACCGTTAATGGCCGTTCTTAGGATACCAGAGAAAATTAGATAAAAGAAAGATAAACAGAGCATGGGAAGATAATATATATATATATACACTTGTATATATATATCTGTATGTAGGGGTTGATGATTTCTTCTCTCCTTCTAGGGTTTCTCTTGGTGGCTTCACTCCTACAACAATGCATCCATGGCGTCCGAACTTACTCCAACACATGATGAGCAAGGTAAGGTACTATGTAATAAAACACTTTGGTTGGACTAAATCATGGCATTTCCCCAAAATTATAACCTACCATATGCGAATATAATTAAGCTTTTAGATTTTAGAAAAATGATATCATTTTGATTTATCTATATTGTTCGCGTCTTACTGAATTTTAAAAATCTTTATTAGAAAAATCATTTCATGCTAATTTATTTAATATTTTCTATTTACCCAAAAAAACCATTGGGCTTAAATTATATTATCTATCCAAAAGAAGATTAGCGGACCTATGACCCGGCCCACATCATTACCGGCCTGACTCGCGATCTATTGTTCCCACTATGCAAAAGTCTGAAATCCAACGAAAATGGCCTATCAAGTGAACCGGTCGGTTAACTCAAATTGAGCCGGTCTACCCGACTCAGAAATCAAGCAAAAAGAAGGAAACCCTCTGAGTAGGGGTGTAAAACGGGCCGGCTCGGCCCAGCCCGGCCCGGCTCGTTCCGATCCAAGAAAATTTTAGCCCAGTCCAGCCTAGCCCGTTTTTTAACGAGCCAAAAATATACCAACCCAACCCAGATCGTCTTAGCCCGCGAGCCAAACGAGTCGGCCCGCGGACCAAATATATAATTTTAAAAATAAAATTTAAATAATAAAAAATATTTAAAAATAATTTTAATATTTAAAAAATAGTTAAAATATTTGAAATATAATAAAAATATTTAAAATTTTAAATAAAATAAATTAAATATGTAATAAAAATATAATTTGTCCAAACGAGCCGGCCCGCGGGCCAAATATATAATTTTAAAAATAAAATTTAAATAATAAAAAATATTTAAAAATAATTTTAATATTTAAAAAATAGTTAAAATATTTGAAATATAATAAAAATATTTAAAATTTTAAATAAAATAAATTAAATATGTAATAAAAATATAATTTGTATATAAAAATATTTTAAAATATATAAAAAAAATTGAAAAAAGGAAAAAAAATTGGCCCGCGAGCCAGCTCGGCTCGTGACGGGGTGGCTCACCACGAGCCCGGCCCGTGATGGGCCAGCTCGTTTGACCCGTTTTTTTCTGGGCTCAATTATTCTCAACCCAGCTGGAAGAATATGGGTTGGTTCGCGAGCCAACCCGCGGGTCAGAACCCATTTTACACCTCTACCTCTGAGCATCTCAGAGGCTCATTCCTCCGTCACAAAAGCCACCTCAGTGAACCCAACCTAATGTCTCTACATCGATGCATCTACTATACCCATCATCACGTTACAACATTAGGGGTGTAAAATGGGCCGGATCGGCCCAGCCCAATCTGACTCGTTCCGATCTAGAAAATTTTTAGTCCAGTCCAGCCTTGCTCGTTTTTTAGCAAGTCAAAAATATGTCAGCTCATCCCATATCGTCTTAGCCCGTGAACCAAACAAGGCGGTCCGCGAACCAAATATATAATTTTTAAAAATAAAATTTTAATATTAAAAAATATTTAAAATATTTAAAATGTAATAAAAAAATACAATTTTAAACAAAAATAAACTAAATATGTAATAAAAAAATATAATTTGTATATAAAAATATTAAAATAATAAAAAAAAACAATAATTTTTTCTTGTG